CTAGAGAGAGAAAGTAAGGAGGTTTCGACTAAGCGGTAGAAATACCCTCTAAGCTAGAGTAGCCTTACGTTAGGCCTACTCGGGCCGACTCGGTCCTACTCGGGCTTTAAGCTTATACTCCGGAGCTGTGGAGCCTATGTCGGGTTACGTAGGCCTAGAAGGGGCCGTAATCGTAATACTCGGTATATAATACTAGGTATACGTAACTTCTACTACTTATTAATAGTATCTAAAGTATACGGTAGAAGGAACAGCTTAAGTGGATATAAGTTAAAGGCGTACTAAGCTAGAACGACGAGCCGGGAGCGGAGCCGCTTACGTAATTACATACTACTTATTTACTTTAGCTAGTACTAGTAATAAAGATCACAATTAACTCGTACTAATACTATATGTTTACTACTCTCTCTTACATGTACCGTTCCAGTTACTAGGGCATAGATCGGATTCGTATACAAGTATAGAAGGACGTCAAGCTTGGAGGACGCGTTAGGGATATTCGGCTTTCGTGGAGTTCCGTTCAGCTGCTGACGATGCGGAACAAAGCCGCGTCCTCGACGTCACCTCGCGATCGGAGTTCCATGACATGACTTGCCTCACGCAGCATCAGACTTCTAAAGTCGTCACGGTTGACCTTTTGGCTGTCAGGGTCGCTCTGTTCTACACATTGCACAGCTAGTCAATCATTTCACAACGCTCGGCTCACAATGTCGATTTCAGAGTCCCTTCCGTGGACTCGGCGACCGCTGATCGTCAATGCGCCGGTAAGTCAATCCCCACCAAGCTAAAACCCATCTGATGATTCAACAGATGGGAGGCATTGCGGGCGCCGACCTGGCAGTCGCGGTCACGAGAGCGGGAGGCCTTGGCCAGATCGGAGGAGTTCCAGACCTCGACTTTCTATCTTCACAGCTCTCAAAGGCCGAACAAGCCCTCCACCGAGAAGAAGGCCTGTTGCCGGTGGGAGTCGGCATCCTGCTGTTTGCCATGGAGCCAGATGCGAGCATTTCTGTCTTGAGTAGATACCGGCCTGCGGTGGTCTGGCTGTTCGCAGCGCAAGAATTGACAGACTACGCCATCTGGGCAGACAAGGTGAGGGAAGCGCTCCCGGAAAGCCAGATCTGGATCCAAGTGGGCTCGGTCGAGGCCGCCCTCACTATCGCGAGCAGTGCAAGACCGTCTGCGATGTGTGTGCAGGGTTCTGACGCTGGTGGGCACGGCTTTGAAAAGGGCGCCGGCATCATCGCATTGCTTCCCGAAGTCAGCAATGCTCTAGCAGCAGCGGGACACGCTGACATTCCGCTCGTTGCCGCAGGCGGTATCACTGACGGAAGAGCCGCCGCAGCTGCACTGATCCTTGGTGCCCAGGGTGTGGTAATGGGCACCCGCTTCCTGGCTGCACCCGAGACCATGATCCATCCCATGTACCGATCTGCGATTCTCAATGCGCGTGACGGTGGCCAGAGCACGGTTCGTGACAAGCTTTTCGATGAAGTACGTGGCCCGAATCAATGGCCGCGCGAATACAACGGCAGGAGTATCCGTACCGACAGCCTTCGAGATCACGAGGCCGGGTTGGGCATCGAAGAAATACGGAGGAGATTCGCAGAGGCATCAAAAGCTCCTGACGGCGGCTTTGCGCTTCCGAAAGATGGCGGTGGGAGGGCAGCTACCTGGGCCGGCACAGGTGAGAGACCCGTTGTGGTTGCATGCATCGTGCACATCGCTGACTGGCGCCTGTGCCGCTGTTACAGGAGTCGGACTAGTGAAGAAAGAACAGCATGCGGCTGAGATTGTCGACGAGGTCAGACGAGAAGTCATATTGGCGTTCAACACGGCTAGTGCCAAGTTGTAGCCTCAGAGCAGAGCAGCGGGATGCCGCCCGCCTACGTTGTCCAAAAAATCTATCTGTATTCTTCTCCACCGGAATCTCCCGATCTACTCGCCCTTCACATTACCGCTCCTCGCCTTCTTGATGTCCCCATTGCTCATGCCGTCCTTCTCTTGCCCATTCACAATTGCGTAAAGCCAGATCAGTGATGCGGTCGCGAACGTCATGAGCAGGGCAGAAAAGGCAAACAGGCTATGTGCCGCGATTAGCGCCAATTCACGTGTCAATGCAGTACGGAAGACAGTGGCTCACCCTATGCGTTGGGTGGTGTTGAGCATCTCGAAGATGGGATATGGATAAAAGTTGTTGAATTGATAGCATCTTTCGATCCAGATCCAGTAGCCAAATGCAATGAATACGCTCAGGCCCAAAGCCGGCAGGAAGGCAATGGTGTAGGGCGGGGAGAAGAACAGGAGGTCTATCACGAGCGCGATGGAAGGGACGGCATGGAAGGAGATGTCGGCGGTGACGGCGATCCGGTCGGCCCAATCAGGCAGCACCAACTTGGGGTCGATCTGAGATAACAATGTCAGGATGCGTCTGGACATGGTCGTCATTCATCACCCGTTCGTACCGCACGAAGTCCCCAATAGAGGAGACTGATCAGGCATTCCATCGGCGCGCTGGCTACGCTGAGAGTGTTCTTGATGTGGAAGAGACGCCGCGAGAGGGTGAGGTCGGCCAACAGACCGATGGCGAAGGTAGCGGTGGAGAGGGACAGACCGATGATGGTCAGGTACTGCATGTGCCAGCCATAGGAGTCATTGCTGGTCGTATCATCAGCTTGTGAGAAAGCACATTCTTCTTCGGCTGGGAGTAGATGGCGAAGTGTCGTCTGCAAAGGGCAGGTGGAATGCGTACGCGGGATTGGGATTGAGCACGAGGTAGGCGAAGGAGTATGCGAACGAGACGAGTCCCAGTGTCTGCACGAAGGATCAGCCGTCCGTATGTGCATCAATCCGTGGATCAGGGACAGGAGCTCACATGCAAGACGGCAGAAGCACCGCGGGAAGGGGAGCCGATGCGCTGCAGCGGATGCTGGCGGAGGAGATGCTGTGCGGCCTTCCCAGCCATGGCGTTGACTTGCGAGGTGCCTACGAGATCGGCGAGGAGGAAGAGGACAGAATGTCCAATGGAGAGAGTCGGTAGACTCGGTGCATCGATTTCTTGCATCCCGGCCACGTGCCGGCGCCGGAGTGTCCCGCGTACCGCACCTTGTCGGATGAGGGCCGTCCCACATGCTGCCAGGGAAATGCTAATCACCCGGCGCACTTCTGGTATCCACCCGGCGCACTCGTAATTTACTGTAAAATACGGGGGAGGACGCGTACGTACCAATCTACGGTGTAAAGTCGTCTGCCAGGGTAGTGCCAGGGTAGTACGGCTACTACCGCTCTCTATTAAAATTACTACTACCTTACTTCTACTAAGAAAACGCGATTACAGTACTTTATCAATTGTTATAGGTGTTTCTAGCGCTCTTATTAGCTCGGCTACTACCGTCAAAACTGATTCCCCTACCCTACTTACTAATACTACCGCGGATAGAGCCGTACTTACTTAAAAGGTAGTAGTTACTACCTTAGTAGTACTGTCGCTAGCGGTACTATACTAATATAGTATCCGTAAGGTGGATTTAGTGTCTACGTAGGCGTAGGCAGCTGCTACTACTACTACTATAGGTGTAGCTACTACTACTACTACTATAGTAGCTAGTATTATTAGTATAGTACCTATCTAGAGGGTAGTAGATCTACGAAGTACTACCGGAACTACTACTCGAACTGAGATACTAGTACTAGATAAGGCCGAATCTTACGTACTTAGCCGCGTTATTAGTAGATACTTTATAATAGGGCGTTTTACTAGCTCGTACTACCGCTACGGACAATATAGACGCGTAGCTATTACGTTACCGGAACAGTACGAAGTAGTAGAGCTGTCGCTACTAGTTGTTACGGATCGAAGTGGGAGCGAGGCCACTTCGAGAATTCCTAGCTAGTGAAATAGAAGAGAGACCCTACGCGTATAGCGAGGTACGTTACGTGTTACGTGTTCGACTAACGGGAGGAACCGGTAGTCGAACTCTACGAGGAGGACCACGTAACAAGTTCGACCGTTCGACTATAGCTCTAGTCGGATAGCTAGTTTCTAGCTAGTAGGTAGGACAAGTTAGTCGAACTAGAAATCTATATAGGAACACTAAGAATGCCTCTAGCTTTCGATGTGTTTAACTTACTATAGTATCTTACTACTTGGAATACAAACCCTTTAAGTTACTATATTACTCTATCGCTTCACTCTTCCTCTACTAGACCTCTCTACTAACGAGCCTAATACCGATTAAGCCTTATACAAGTAATCCTTATGTATTGTAAGATTATTAAGTTACAGACTTAATAGCTTTAAACACCCTCGAGGATGTCTAATTAACGAAGTTCTAGGGGAACTCCCGCCCCTAGTAAAGTAGGACGACTAAGGACTAACGAAGCTATTTAGGCTTTAGCTACGTACGAAGGAGACAAGAACCTTAAGGTCGGCAAGCCGGACTTCTACTATAGTGACCGCGAGAAGTATAACACCTAGGTTAACTAGATAGACCTCTACTTTCTCTTCAACCCTATAGAAGAACGTCTCAAGCCTATCTTTGCTACCACCTTTTTAAGAGGACGTGCACAGCATTGGGTCAAACCTTTTCTCCGCGAATACCTCGACTCCGGCGATACGAAATTAGGAAACGGAATCTTTAAGTTATACTAACACCTTAAGACCTCTATAAAGACCGTGTTTAGTATATCTAACGAACAATCGACCGCCGTACGAGTCATTTAGTACCTTACGCAACGTACCTCTACTACCGAATATGCCGCTAAGTTCTAGGAACACGCTTAACTTACCGACTGGGACGACGAAGCACTTCAAACGATGTACCGACGAGGACTGAAGGATAATGTTAAGGACGAATTGATACGCGACGGGCGATCAATCGAAAACCTAGGAGAACTGGTTTAGGTCACAATCGATCTTAATAACAAGCTCTACGAACGAGTAATAGAAAGGCGTTACGATTCGAAAATATTAGGACGCGCTAGGTACATTTCCGAAAGGCGACACTAGGGCAATCACAATCTACGGTTTAACAAGACAAATCAATCACCTTAACCCTACTATAGACCGTAGCCTATAGAACTCGACGCTACCTAGAAAGGTCGCAAGATACGAGGCAAGAACTCGCCTCGAAGGAAAAATGTAGGAAAACTGACTTACTATGCCTATAGAAAAGAAGGACACATAGTACGGGATTGCCGCGGTAAGAATATAGTACGCCGCGAGTAGTTTAATATAATACAACCAAGATCGGGACGAGGAGCATACAATATGCCTACCCTCGACGAGAAAAAGGAACCCCGACTCTTTAGAGTAATAGTACGTCGTAAGGAAAAGTACGGTACCCTTTATTAGAGATACTGTTACGACGACTTATACTAAGAATATTATTCCTCGAAGATAGGAGTAGGATACTAGCTATAACGACTACTATTACCTATATAGGATCCGCGGCCCGATAACGAAAGGACCGACGGATACCGACTTCTACCTATACCGGAGGAGCTACGTAGACTCGAGCTACCTACACCGGTTAGCGAGGAAGAGTTAGACAAGGAAAATCTGACGCCCGAGGAAGAACAAGACAGCGAGGAAGAAGGTAACGAACGGCCACCTTAGCTTCCGGAAGAACTAGAGATACCGGAATCCTCGGAAGAAAGCGATATTACGGAGGAAGACAACGACGGAGAAATTACAACCTTTACGGTAGACGCCCTAAGACAAGTACGGGAACTCGTAATCACGATCGCGCGAAGCAACGAGGAAGTGTTCCTAAAGATTAAAGGAAAACGATACCTTAACCCTATCTAATTTGACAATATACTTTCTAGGGTGCGTTTTCTCGCCTAGAAATACCTACGAATAGAGGTGGAGGAAGACTTTAGACGAATTATCTAGGAGAAACCCCTAATTAGAAGCGTTATAACACCCTACGGGTATCTTATACCGAATAACGAAGTCGTTACCTAAGAAATGCGGGCCTAGATACGACGCTACGTAGAAGCATTCGCCTAGGCACAACACGTACAAAATCGCTAGGCATACAACGAATTACCGGCCGAGCGACAGATAGCCGAGGACCTCTATAAAACAAGAAGAAAGATCCGACAGTAGCTCGAACAACGCCGCTCGGGAAAAGGATTAACTCTCTAGGAATAAGCGACCGAAGAGAGTTTAATATCGTAACAAATACTTAAGTATTAACAGTAGTCTTCCGTACGGAAGTAATCGTTAACGGCCGCAAGACATGTACGCTAGTTGATTCAGGCGCTAGCGGGACATTTGCCTCTAAATCATTTATAAAAAGATCCGGGATCGCAACCCGAAGGAAGAAAGACGGAGGGTATAAACTCGTCGTAGTGGACGGGTCACCCCTACCGAGTATAGAACGAGAGACGATACCGTTACTACTAGCAATCTAACAGTACTACGAGGAACTGACGTTCGACGTTACTAAGATAGCTACTTATAACATCGTACTCGGAATACCTTAGTTAAGAAAGCATAACCTATCGATCGACTAGAAAGGAGGAGTACTTAGATTTAAGCGATACGATTGTACGATCGACATCCACCCTACGTAGCGGTAGCGTTCGCTAGTAGATAAGTCAAAACAACTTAGTACGACGTAGTTTGTAACGACCGGAATCTAGAGACTAGAACTAACTCGGACAGGTACTAACTAGGGTTAGAAGGGCTAAGAAGTCACGAGCAATAGTGGAATTCGTGTACTACCTAATATCCCTAAAGAGTATAGCGGGTATAAGAGACTCTTTTAGGAAGAGGAAGGGAAAGACGCCCTACCTAAGTACAGACCATAGGATTATAAGATTAATATTCAGCTAGGGAAGCAGCCTCTATAGGGACCTATCTATCCGCTATTAGAAAAAGAGCTAAAATCCCTTAATTAATAGCTAAAGGAGAAACTAGCGAAGGGATAGATCCGGAAATCTACTTTAAGCGTAGGATCTCTAATTCTCTTCGTACTAAAAGTAGGAACTGTTAGAAAGTACAGTCCTTAGCGGCTGTACTAGACAGGGCTAGTCACATGATTTGGTCATGTGACCTACAGCTAGGAACTCCAAGTTTAGGAGGATTATATATTGCTCTAGATAATTAACTTAATCAACACATTAGTTCCTACTGCCTACCTACCTTGTGGACACCTTCCGCTACAGCTATACCTATATAAAACTGTTATTAGGACACCCTTTTAGGGACTTAGTAGAACAGGTTCTAAGCCCGGGTTTGTAGTATGTCTATAAAGAGGTTTTTAGTAGTATAGGTTCTCTCTACACCTGTAAGACTTTGAAAGAGAAGCAGAAAAGAGAAGGTAGACCTAAGGCTCGCCCCTACAGTGTACTAGAAGCTTCAGAAGATCCTAGTTATGTCTAGAAGTTCCTAAAGGTACATATAAGCTATAAAAGAGCCTAGTGACACATACGACTAGACTGTGTTGTAGATACCTTAAGATTGCTTACTAAGCACCTTAAGAGGAGCAAAAGGCACAAGAGAAGCCCCTATAGTATCCACTTCCCTTTACTAGGAGAAATCACCTCTCTATTACCCTATAGAGCTAGAATCTATATACTAACCTTTTAAGTCACCTGACTTGAAACCAATTTTTTCTTAAGTAGGAGTTTTGTATTAGATATTTGTTTTAAAGTACTAAAGAGAAAGAGCGATAGATTTAGACAATAGATTTGGAAAGAGAAGGGCAGCTCCTATACTATTAAGAGACAACTAGAGGATGTGGTTCAGATTGTTAGAAGCTAGCCTAAGAGGCTAAGAGGTATTCTAGGTTGTTCTAGATACATAAGAACTAAAGGGCAGCTCTAATAGAGACATACTATCCTTAGAGGGATCTGAGTTAAGGATAACATTCCTAGGTCTTAAACATTCAAGGTTCAGTCCTATATAGTAGAAGGCAAATGCTAAGGCTATGTATAAACTAATAAGCTGTCTTG